CCATAATTCCCCACCTGGCGTGCTTGAAGATGGGTAGACATGCTGCCTGAAGAATTCTGGGAGCTGAAGTCCACCTCTCTTCAAGCGGCCGAGGTTGGAAGATCCACATATGTGCAACAACCTGAATGCAAATTCTAACCGTGAAGCTTGGACGCTGAAAAAGAAAGGAAAAAAAAAAAGATTTCTTCAGGTGGCCACAGGAGGGCGCTCAACCCCGAGAAACAAACTTCCTCTCCCTTTCGCTTAAACTGCCCTCTGGCCCGACGCCCTTGTGCTGTCTATGGTGGTCCGCCGCCGCTTCCTGTCCCCCCTCGTCGTTTCCGGGAAGAGGCGCCGCGGCCCGCTATGGCCGTCAAGTGGCGCATCGTCAAGGCGGCGGGCACCGGGCTGGGCATCTTCGCCGGAGCGCTGTTGATCTTTCAGCTGTGGCCGTCCGACGAGGCGCGTTCGGCGAAGATCAGTAAGGTGAGGAAATAGCGGGGAGGCTTAGGCTCCAGGCCTATGTCTGCCGTTGCCGCTTTAAAATACGAGGACTAGCGCCTTGCATAAGACTCTACTCTGAATAACGAGGGCTAACGCCTTGCATAAGATGCTGCCCTGAATAATGAGGACAAGCATCTTGCATAAAGGCCCTGTTCAGGATCCCGAGGACTAGGGCCTTGTGTAAGATCCAGGTGTGAATCATGAGGACTAGCGCCTTGAATAAAATAGCATTCAGAAATATATGGGTTTTATTTATTTATGCATTTGTTAGATTTTTTTTTTAAATTTCAATCATTAGATTTATATTTGCTTTGCTTATTAGACTCTGATTTGTTTATTTGATTTTTATCTAATAAATCTGCATTCTGTATCCGGCTCTTTGCTTGTATTAGTGTACATCTCAGTCTCTGTGTGTGTAATAAATGGAATTTATTAGATTCTTACTTCCCATTTTTTTGAGTTTTATATATAACTCAAGATGGCAAGCATAGCTAATTACGCCTTCTTCCTGTTTTCCCCATCACAACCACCCTGGAAGGTGTGTTGGGCTGAGAGAGTGACCAGCTCTACATAACCCATCCAGCTTTTGTGATTAAATGAATCTTTCATGATTCTGGCAGAACTAGAACTCAGAGTCTCCGGTTTCTAGGCCAATACCACCTTCACCAAAACTACACCAAAGTGGCATTTCAGATCAGATCTTATTATTATTATCAGAAGGTCTAGCATCTTAAATAGGATTCTATTTGGAAATGTGAGGATTAGCACCTTAAATAACATAGCCTATGTAGAACCACAAGGACCAGCCTGTTAAAGAAGATCATATTCAGAACCATGAAGACTAGAATCTTTCCTGACTATTTAGGAGAAGAGGTGTGGCTTAGATCACAAAGGACAAATAGGTTTTTTTCACCTCAGGCGATGTACAGATCCTCAAAACGGGGATGCCCGAAAAAAACTTGGTTTGCCTTCCTCACGTCTTCGTTCTCCCTGCAGAATTTCGGGGGTTCCAGTCAGGACTATTCGGACTCGCAACGACAGAACGCCTTGTTCATGGAAATCCTGAAAGAGGCCGCGACGACAGATGACAATTGGGCCCGAAAACCTTACCCTTCGAAAAAGTAGCAATAGCTGTGACCTGAAGTGGCCTTGGGCTACTTGGATTGGCACGAATATCGTGACTCTAATGAAAATCACATTTTTCCTTCGACCTGTTTATTCCTCGGGGTCCTTCTGTGGCTTGCTTGGTAAGCTGTCTTCGTAGATTAAAAATGGCACTTTGGAGTGTTCTTCTCTGTGTGTGTTTCAATGCCTGGCAAAATAAAAAAAACGGACCTTAGAAAAACACACGTCCTTAGGGTGACCCAGCCAGCAGGGTCATCCTTGTCTTGAGTCTTTGAATTCACACACATCATGCCACAACAAAAAACATTAAGTGTCTGATTCGTCCTAAAAAGTTTTGTTTTATTTAAATTTATAGGTTGGTTAAAAGTAAAAGCAACAAGATAAAATACAAAGATATTAAATATTAACATCAATTGGTCTGGAAACTGATGCTCAAGAACAAGTGCTTCTGATAAGTTAGTTTATGATGGAAAAAGGACGGAAGTTATATGCTAGCTGCAGTTTATTAACACGATTTGTCTAAATATATGGTTGGTTGTGTTTTTTTATGTAAGGCGCTTGCTAATTTAATTTTCATACCTGTGCTTTAGTAACATTTATAAATATATAATTATTGATATGTTGCTTAGCTGGTTAATTTTTTTTTAACTGCAGTTTAATAATTAACAGTGTTAATATGCATATGTTAAGAAGGAGGGAGGGAGGGAGGAAAGAGATGGGAGAAGGGGAGAAGGAGAAAGGGAAGGAGAGAGGAAAGGAAAGGAAGAAGGAGGGGAGGAAAAGATGGGAGAAAGGGGGAGGAGAAGGAAGGGAATGGGGGAAAGGGAAAGGAGGGAGGGAGGAAAAGAGAGGGGGGAAAGGGGGAGGAGGAGGAAGGGAAGAGAGAAAGGGGAAAGGAGGAAGGGAAGGAAGAGGAGGGAAGGAGGGAGGAAAAAAGATGGGAGAAAGGGGAGGTGGAAAAAGGGAGAGAAGAAAGGAAAGGAGGATTAGGGAGGGAAGTTAGGAAAAAGATGGGAGAAAGGGGAAGGAGGGGAAAGAGGGTGAGAGAAGGAAGAAAAAGATATAAATAGAGAAAGAGATGATGGATATTTCAACTAGGGGGAACTTTTTAAGAAGCCCATATCTAGGAGGTAGATTTAAAACAAGAGACCAGTGAATTCTGGAAGATGCAACTATTGATCGCTGGTGGGAAAGAAACGCGGCCCAGGAATTTAAGGATTATTTTATCCTCCAAGGAAAATAATATTCAGACAGGCCCCGTTTGTTTTCTCCCCCTCCCCAACCGGAACCTAACACAAGGAGCCCTGTTGCCCCCGCCGGACATTTATAGAGGTCGGACGTCTTTGTTTCCCTCCTCCCCGATGGCGACTTTTCCAAGCTTCCGGGAGGCTGGCAGAGCGGCTTCCGGTACGGAGGCGGCCATCTTGCTCGGCGGAAACATGGCGACCCAGCCCGGAGGAGGCACGGTGGCGGGGTCCTCCAAGGCGACCCCCCAAAAGTCCTTCTTCTGGTCCTGCTTCAGCTGCCGCATGCTGACCGGCGGCGGGCTGGCGGGCGCCGGCCTCTGGGTCCACTTGGGGGTCCGCCGGTCCTTGCCGCACAGTAGGCCCGGGGACCTCTATAATATAATCCGGCTGGTTTTAGCCGTCAGTAAGTTGCTGCTGTTGGTGTCCCCGGGGGGGGGTAGATTCGGACGTGTAAGGTTAGACACGTGTAAATATCTTTGGCTTGCAGGGGGGAGGGAGCTCGTTTCCCCGCTTGGGAGTCCTCGGGTTGCAATGACGGAACTGGGCCACCAGAGGGCAGCATTTCCCCTCCCCGGAGCAAGAATGTCTTAAAAAGAATTTAAGTAGCAAAAATTCTTATTTTATTATTATTTTATGGATTTATATATATTGACTTGTATCCCGCCTTTATTATTGTTATGAGTAGAAAAAGGCGTCGTATCTGAGAGCCTGGTCTGAATCATGAGGACTGTACAACCAAGCCAGTCAGGGCGGCCCTAATAATCCTCCATTTTTTTGAATTCTATTCCATTCTATTTCTATTCTCCTATTATTTTTACTGTATTCATTCTATTCTATTCTTTATTCTGTTTTCCGTTCTATTTATTCTATTATTGCTATTCATTTCTGTTCTATTCGTTTTATTCTATTATTTCTATTCTAGTCATTCCATTCTATTCTTCTATTATTTTTATTGTATTCATTCTATTCTTTATTCTATTTTCTGTTCTATTCTTTATTCTATTATTGTTATTCATTTCTGTTCTATTTGTTTTATTCTATTGTTTCTATTCTATTCATTCCATTCTATTCTTCTATTTTTATTGTATTCGTTCTATTCTTCTATTTTCTGTTCTATTCTTTATTCTATTATTTCTATTCTTCATTTCTGTTCTATTTTTTTATTATTTCTATTCTATTTTATTCATTCCATTCAATTCTTCTATTTTTACTGTATTCATTCTATTCTATTCTTTATTCTATTTTCTGTTCTATTCTTTATTGTATCCGTTATATTCTTTATTTCTGTTCTATTCGTTTTATTCTATTATTTATATTCTAGTCTTTATTATTTCTATTCTATTATTATCTTATTCTATTATTATTTCTGTTTTATTCATGCTCTGTTCTATTCCTTTTGCCTTCTGCAGAGCAACACAAATAATTAGCCCTCCAACTTGAGTTGTGCCTCCTTTGCCAACGACGATTTTTGTCTCTTTCCAGGTCTTTATTCTGCGGCAATCGTAATCATCGTGGACCCCGTCGAGCCAAAGTAGGACGAGGAAGGTGTACTTTCATCAGCGAAGGGTTCCCGAGACGTACCTGGAGGCAACCCAGAGGGGAAGTGTGGGGGGGGAGAAGCCTTTCATTGGGAGGTTGGCCTGTTCATTAAGACAGGAGAGAAACGTTGCTGCTTTTTCAATCTTCCGCGGAAAATGCCTGTGTCAAAACAGTCAGTTACGGTGACTCTGGACGGTGGAATAAGCCATCTTGCCAATTTCGTTGCTGAAAAATCATGCTTGTTGGGTGAAAAGTGTGGGGGGGAAATATACCTCTAATTTACCTGCGTGTCTTTGTGTCTCTTTTCTTCCTTTGCTCACTCCGTGAAACGGATCCTCACTTAAAAACACAGCCGCTAGCTTTGAACCCCAATTTCCCCGGTGGATAATTTGCGAGGGTAGTTACGGGAAACGTAGTTTGGGTACGCGGTGGATTGTGCAAGTTTTCAAGCTTACAATCCAGCCTCCTTATTCCGGGGCAGTCTACCTCACGGTGCCAGGTGCAACTGGAGGTGTGTGTGTGTGAGTAAATTTGGGAGGGAAGGACGGCTGGGAAGACCAGATCCTGCGCTTGTTCCTCCGGCAAGAAAGAAAACCACAAATGGGACACCAGAGTGAAGAGGTTTTATTCAGGGCTGGCTTTGTGGGGGTGTATCCAGCTGCAAATCCTGGTTCCTCTCCAACTCTTCTACCCACATAATGTCTGTTTCAGTATCCCTGGGTTAAGGGGCTGCTGTTTCAGAGTCTCTGGGGAGAAGGGGGGGGACGGGGCTGGCGCACTACGGTGGCACCCAGTGACTACAGGCTAGGTCAGCCTCCAACAACCGGCATGAAGGAGGGAAAGCCACAACCGACCGTTCGTTGCAAGCGAAGAGAGCCGCTCAGCTGTTCCCCTTCTTGGCCACTATCAACACGGCGGAAGGCACCAAGCCTGGAAGAAAGAGAGGAGGGGAGAAAAAAAAAATGAATGGAAAAAAGAATAGATGACGCAGAGGGAGCGACCGAAAAAACAGCAGCTTTGGAGAGTGAATCAAGACTTTCTATGCTCTTCTCCACTGCCCTCGCCACTCTCTGTAGGGACTTTCTATCGGAGGCACTGCTACCACCAAACCGGACAGCGATGCAGTTCTGGCATTTCAGAACGAGGCAAAGGGAAGTTGGAGGCCCAACTCCCCTTTGACACACACACCCCACCACAAACTCACCCAGCTCCTGGAGGGGCTTTTCCATGTCTTCCTCAGTGAAAACCCGCCGGGGGAAACTCGTCAGGAGGTGAAAAGGGTCTTCGCCACCATCTTTGCGGTTCAGCTCCACATACAGCCGCACGGCTGCCAGTTGCTCCTTGGCTTTGAAGGTGTGAGTCAGAGAGGTGCCATCCAGGAGTCTCACCTACCAGGAGCAAAATCAAATCCCCCAATGACCCCCAATTTAGGCCAATGTTCCCGTCGCTAAAGCAAGACGGTGGTTAAAGTGAAATTGTGGCCCCCGTTTGACGAACCTTCCTCGCCAGACAGTTGTTTACGTGAATCCCTGCGGCAGTTTTAAGTTCCTGACACAGTCATTCAACGAATCCGGCTTCCCCATTAGCTTGGCTGGTCAGGTGGTCGCAAAAGGGACGCTTGCAACCGTCGTAAATATGAGTCAGTCCGCCAAGCGTCTGAATTTTGATCCTGTGACCGTGGGATGCCTCAACCATCGAGGGAAAATATATTTTTTTTCAGCGCTGTTTTAGCTTCGAACAGTCACTAAACAAACGGCTGCAGGCGGAGGACGGTGTGTGAAAGCCAGATTTTCCTTGTTCTCCAGATTTTACCGCGTGGAAAATATTAGCTCCACGGCTCTTATCTTGCCTTACCTGTATCTTGCACTGATCGTATTCTCGCTTGACGGGGAGCTCCTGGCTGGGGGAGGAGATAAGCATGGGCTCCATCTGGTCAGTCACGGGGGAGGCCTGGGTAGCGCTACTGCAGCCAAACTGGGGGGGGGGGGGGGGGGGGGGGGGGGACGACAAAAATCAGGAAGGTGAGCCCGCCAAAGCTGTGCAATTCTAAACCCAGCAATTCCTCGTGGTGGGTAACTTTTGAGATGGGGGGGGGGGGGAAATACTTCAACTCCCAGAATTCCCCAGCTAGGATGAGGGTGGGAAGGAAGGAAGGAAGGATGGAGGGAGGGGGGAGGAGGGAGGAGGGAGAGGGAGGAGGGAGAGGAAGTGGGGGAAGAGGGAGGGAGGGAGGAAAGAAGGATGGAGAGGAGGAAAGGGAGATGGAAGAGGGAGGGAGGGGGAAGAGAAGAGGGAGGGAGGGAGGATGAAGGGAGAGAGGAAGGAAGGAGAGAAAGGGAGGGAGAGCAAAGAAGGAAAGGGAGAAAGGAGAGATGAGATGGAAGAGGGAGGGAGGGAAGGGAAAGAAAAGGAAGAGGGGGGGAAGGATGAAGGAAGGAGGGAGGGAGGAAGGATAGGGAGGAGGGAGAGGAAGGGGGAGAAGAGGGAGGGAGGGAGGAAAGAAGGATGGAGAGGAAGAAAGGGGGAGGGGGGGAGAGGAAAGAAGGATGGCGGAGATGAGATGGAAGAGGGAGGGACAGAGGGGGGAAGAGAAGAGGGAAGAAGGATGAAGGGAGAGGAAGGAAGGAGAGAGGGAGGGAGAGCAAATAGGAAAGGGAGAAAGGAGGAGAGATGAGATGGAAGAGGGAGGGAGGCAGGGGGAAGAAAAGGAAGAGGAGGGAGGATGGATGAAGGAAGGAGAGGGAGGGGGAAGGATGGAGGGAGAGGAAAGAGAGAGGAAGGAAGGAAGGGGAAGACGGAGGGAGGGAGGAGGGAAGTTGGGTGAAGGAAGGAAACACAGAGGCAACTTGTCAGTCTAAATAACACAAACTAAAACCCGAATTGTTTCCCCCTCACCTTCTTGGCTCTCTCGGCCTTGTCCCGTTCTATCTTCTCCCGCACTCTTTGCCTGGACAAGAGGAGGGGGGGGGGGGGGGGGGGGGGCATCAATGGTGGAAGGACCCCCTGACTCACTTCACAGTTTGGGGTGTAATGATAAGTCCCCAAAAGCTCCGAGATGGAGAACGTGGAGGGGTGTCCGTGGGACGAGCCGGCTGGCAGGCAAAACGGACGGGACAAACTCCTTTGACCCCCCACCCCACCCCACCCCAGAATGCAAAGCTTCGGCCCTCCACTGCGAGGAATTCAGCCTCCCAGCAGCCACCGCTGAGGGAGGCTGGGAGGTGTAGTCCAAGGTCCTCCTCCTCCTCCTCCTGCTTTAAGACACCTGGAGAAGGCTGGACTTCAACTCCCAGAAACCCTTCGAGAAGAGCGAGCCAGAAGGCCACGCCCCCTGCTTTAAAGGATGCTGGCTGGGGAATTCTGGGAGTTGAAGTCCCCCCCCCCATCTTAAAGTCACGAAGGTCGAGGGAGGCAGGTTTGGAGTGAGACCAGCTGGAAGTGCAATTCCCGCCCCCTCATTCCTCTTGGCTCACACTCACTTACTTTCACTTTCGCTTTCACTTTCGCTTTCGCTTTCACTTTCTCTCTCTCTCTCTCTCTCTCTCACACACACACACACACACACACAGAGGGTCCCCTCACTTGGCCAGCTTCTCTTCCATCTTCTCCCGCCGCCTCTCTTCGGCCAGCTTCTTCATCTCGTCCTCCTGCAGCTTCTGGCGGATGAGGAGGAGCTCCTGGCCTTGTTTCCGGCGCTGCTTCTCCCGCTCGATGGTCTCCCGCTTCTCCCGCTCCTCGCGCTCCTTCTGCTTCTGGTAGATCAGCTCCATCATCCTGGGGGAGGTGGGGGTAGGGGGGGAGGAAACACTGGAGCAGCTCAGGAGGCACAGCTACCCCCCTCAGCCCAGGAGGGAGGGAAGGAGGGAAGGAAGGAAGGAAGCAAGGAAAAGAGAAGGAGAGAGAGAGAGAGGAAGGAAGAAAGGGAGGCAGGCAGAAAAGCCGGGAAGGGAAGGGAAGGGAAGGGAAGGGAAGGGAAGGGAAGGGAAGGGAAGG